GCAAGTGTATACTGACGGTCAGATATATGGAAACCTTCCATAAACTACAATCATGTCAACATGGCAAGTGTATACTGACCATCAGATAAACCTTCCACAAACTACAATCATGTCATCATGGCAAGTGTATACTGACGGTCAGATAAACCTTCCATAAACTACAAGCATGTCATCATGGCAAGTGTATACTGACGATCAGATAAACCTTCCACAAACTACAATCATGTCATCATGGCAAGTGTATACTGACGGTCAGATAAACCTTCCACAAACTACAAGCATGTCATCATGGCAAGTGTATACTGACCATCAGATAAACCTTCCACAAACTACAATTATGTCATCATGACAAGTGTATACTGACGGTCAGATAAACCTTCCACAAACTACAATCATGTCATCATTGCAAGTGTATACTGACGGTCAGATAAACCTTCCACAAACTACAATCATGTCATCATGGCAAGTGTATACTGACGGTCAGATAAACCTTCCACAAACTACAAGCATGTCATCATGGCAAGTGTATACTGACGGTCAGATATATGGAAACCTTCCACAAACTACAATCATGTCATCATGGCAAGTGTATACTGACCATCAGATATATGGAAACCTTCCACAAACTACAATCCTGTCATCATGGCAAGTGTATACTGACGGTCAGATATATGGAAACCTTCCACAAACTACAATCATGTCATCATGGCAAGTGTATACTGACCATCAGATAAACCTTCCACAAACTACAATCATGTCATCATGGCAAGTGTATACTGACCATCAGATATATGGAAACCTTCCATAAACTACAATCCTGTCATCATGGCAAGTGTATACTGACGGTCAGATATATCGAAACCTTCCACAAACTACAATCATGTCATCATGGCAAGTGTATACTGACCATCAGATAAACCTTCCACAAACTACAATCATGTCATCATGGCAAGTGTATACTGATGGTCAGATATATGGAAACCTTCCACAAACTACAATCATGTCATCATGGCAAGTGTATACTGACCATCAGATAAACCTTCCACAAACTACAATCATGTCATCATGGCAAGTGTATCCTGACGGTCAGATATATGGAAACCTTCCACAAACTACAATCCTGTCATCATGGCAAGTGTATACTGACGGTCAGATATATGGAAACCTTCCATAAACTACAATCCTGTCATCATGGCAAGTGTATACTGACCATCAGATAAACCTTCCACAAACTACAATCATGTCATCATGGCAAGTGTATACTGACGGTCAGATAAACCTTCCACAAACTACAATCATGTCATCATGGCAAGTGTATACTGACGGTCAGATAAACCTTCCACAAACTACAATCATGTCATCGTGGCAAGTGTATACTGACGGTCAGATAAACCTTCCACAAACTACAAGCATGTCATCATGGCAAGTGTAAACTGACGGTCAGATAAACCTTCCACAAACTACAAGCATGTCATCATGGCAAGTGTATACTGACGGTCAGATAAACCTTCCACAAACTACAATCATGTCATCATGACAAGTGTATACTGACCATCAGATAAACCTTCCACAAACTACAATCATGTCATCATGGCAAATGTATACTGACCATCATATAAACCTTCCACAAACTACAATCATGTCATCATGACAAGTGTATACTGACCATCAGATAAACCTTCCACAAACTACAATCACGTCATCATGGCAAGTGTATACTGACGGTCAGATATATTTAAACCTTCCACAAACTACAATCATGTCATCATGGCAAGTGTATACTGACGGTCAGATAAACCTTCCACAAACTACAATCATGTCATCATGACAAGTGTATACTGACCATCAGATAAACCTTCCACAAACTACAATCATGTCATCATGGCAAGTGTATACTGACGGTCAGATATATGGAAACCTTCCACAAACTACAATCATGTCATCATGGCAAGTGTATACTGACGGTCAGATATATGGAAACCTTCCATAAACTACAATCCTGTCATCATGGCAAGTGTATACTGACGGTCAGATATATGGAAACCTTCCACAAACTACAATCATGTCATCATGGCAAGTGTATACTGACCATCAGATAAACCTTCCACAAACTACAATCATGTCATCATGGCAAGTGTATACTGACGGTCAGATATATGGAAACCTTCCACAAACTACAATCCTGTCATCATGGTAAGTGTATACTGACGGTCAGATAAACCTTCCATAAACTACAATCATGTCATCATGGCAAGTGTATAATGACGGTCAGATAAACCTTCCATAAACTACAAGCATGTCATCATGGCAAGTGTATACAAACGATCAGATAAACCTTCCACAAACTACAATCATGTCATCATGGCAAGTGTATACTGACCATCAGATAAACCTTCCACAAACTACAATCATGTCATCATGGCAAGGGTAAACTGACGGTCAGATAAACCTTCCACAAACTACAACCATGTCATCATGGCAAATGTATACTGACCATCAGATAAACCTTCCACAAACTACAATCATGTCATCATGGCAAGTGTATACTGACGGTCAGATAAACCTTCCACAAACTACAATCATGTCATCATGGCAAGTGTATACTGACCATCATATATATGGAAACCTTCCACAAACTACAATCATGTCATCATGGCAAGTGTATACTGACGGTCAGATATATGGAAACCTTCCACAAACTACAAGCATGTCATCATGGCAAGTGTATACTGACCATCAGATAAACCTTCCACAAACTACAATCATGTCATCGTGGCAAGTGTATACTGACCATCAGATAAACCTTCAAAAACTACAATCATGTCATCATGGCAAGTGTATACTGACCTTCAGATATATGGGTTTTTCTCTTGATTTTTGTTGAGGGATATTTAGAGTTGCGGGCGACAGGATAAACTATTCCTTTCTGGACAGGGTTCATTTGTCCTAGAAGCGCCACGATGTTACAGTATTGTTGTATATTATTTCCACAATTTTATATTAATATATGCCTGAAGTGTATTTTGCAATGAAGAAATGTTTTGAAATGTCCTATGATGCTGGACCAAAGCACGCTACATGTTGTACACAAACCTTCGACCAGCACTCTATTCCAATGCAGAACAAGTCAAATGTCCGAAGCTTAACATTCATAATTGCAATATTATTAAGATTTGTAGTTTAAGAATTTTGTCGTGTTCGTTAATCACTATAGTGAGACTTTGGACCTATGTGGATATTTGTGATTTATTTAGCTTAACCTTGCTTGCTTATCAGAATATATATGTTCCAGACAAGGGTCAGAACCTTTTAATAACGTTCCCACAATACAAAAATCATTTGAGGTCTGAATTACTCATTAAAGTTAAGTTTTTAGTATGTTTAGTGCGATATTAAATTATCCTGCATAAAAGAGATTTGGGATTGAACAACCGAAACTTTTACAATTTCTAAACGAATAAAAGGCGGTTCTAGTCACCAAAATGCCTTTTTAAAGTTCTTAGTCTATTTTATAATGATTTATGTTCCTATTGATACATTTTATTTTAAAAAAAAGTCTTGACATTGTTTCAGCTCAAATATAAGTCAGTTTTGAAAGAATTTTTGTTGCCAGTTTGGCATATACCAAATTCAACCTAAATGCCCAAAACTTAAATTAGTCACCAAAATGCCTTTTTAAAGTTGTTAGTCTACTTTATAATGATTTATGTTCCTATTGATACATTTTATTTAAAAAAAAATTCTTGACATTGTTTCAGCTCAAATATAAGTCAGTTTTGAAAGAACTTTTGTTGCCAGTTTGGCATATACCAAATTCAACCTATATGCCCAAAACTCAAATTTTCCACTTTCATTGAGGTATACTAGATAGGTATCTTGAGAAATACACATTTTGTCACATTTGTTTATTCATTTTGTATAGTTTTGACGGCCGTTGTTCTTATTATTTGAAAAATTACGTCTTTTTAAAATGAAAATCACCCCTTTTTGTAAAATCGCTTCCGTTTACTCTGGAAACTCCTTTAGTGATGCATGGTTTTCCTTTTTTTATGAAAAACTGAATAAGGAGGAAAACAGATGCAAGTTTGCAATTATTCTAATGCAAAAACAATGTATTTAAATTGGAATCAAATATTCACTATTTTATTTTCTCTCATGAAAATGGTTAGTGAAATTCGATATTGATTTCTTAAAAACTGAACTAAATTTTCTTTTGACGACAAATTAATTTTAAAGTACACACATTTTCGAATCGAATGATATATGATATAGCCGTGTAGTAGTTCTGACGATTGAATTTTGAAAATTCTGACTCTGGTCATTTGTTTATTCATTTTGTATAGTTTTGACGGCCGTTGTTCTTATTATTTGAAAAATTACGTCTTTTTAAAATGAAAATCACCCCTTTTTGTAAAATCGCTTCCGTTTACTCTGGAAACAAATTTCAAAAAAATATCCCATCAATCATGATAAAATTGCACGAAGTAATTAGTAAAATTCCAGTCACGTCTTATCTAATAGGGCTATTAAACAGGAAGTTAATAAAATGACCCTATTAATAATCAAAACAGTATTGCTCTCTTATACGCCGGTCATGACCCTTCAATCATTCTTCAAGAAACAATGAAGGGGCTACTAGTATGAAAATGTAATTTGGCAGTCAAATATAGGGAATAAAAAAATATCCCATCAATCATGATAAAATTGCACGAAGTAATTAGTAAAATTCCAGTCACGTCTTATCTAATAGGTTCTTCTTCAATTGTTGATTAGCATTGTGACCTTTAGTCTTGGTTTTATGCACCGTTGCGTTGCTGTCTTCATTACGTTTACCCAACATTGCATTTCTTCCAATGCTGAAATTAAAGTGAAAACCCAATATAATTGCATTCTGAGCAAGTTTTTCTCCAGTCACTAAGCGGTAAATGAAATATGACGGTTCGCCTATTTTACAAATAAATGTGATTAATATTTGGTTATAAAAATGAAAATAGACTTACAAGCAAACTGTTAGGATTAGAAGCAAAATCGTTAACAGCCATCCTGGTACAGAGATAACACCAAGAATCTCCATAGTATATAATCTACCTGAATCAATACTTGTAAGTGTGTTTGTTTATCAATTATACCTATATATATTCTATTTATATGCTATCTATGAGGTATGACGATGAATAATGTTTATCACAGGCAAAACGTTATTGTGAAATGAAGATCATGTGATATTTTTTTATTTAATTTTTTTTTTTTTTAATTTTATCCCCGACGCCTCAATCTGATGTGTTCACTCTCACTGCATCTTAGTAGTTAATTAACACGATACGATAAGAGAGTTAAAAGAGGGGTCTTAAAAGACGTGAAGACAAAAGTCAATCGATATACTAATAAGAATCCAAAAGCTCATACATAATCGGCGAATTTCTTTTGAAAATAATGATACCTTAAATTGAAGCGAGAAAACTAATCGGTTTATAGTGAACAAATAGAAATGTGTAGTATTGTGGCACACATCAGATATTTCACAGTGTATAATCAATTTCAAATTAAATTATTCATGACGTGCAGCAAAATTTGATTTCTTATATAAAATTATATCCCCATTTTGAGGTTCCAAAATAGGAACCAGACTCAAGCTAGCGAACAATAAGCCAGCGAACAATAAGGTGTATCAAGCTAGCGAACAATAAGCCAGCGAACAATAAGAAATACGCGCCAAACTGATCTTGCCTAAAAACCGAAGACTTGCATTAACACGAAACGTTCTTTGAAATCTGATGACAATCATTTCCAGTAGGAAGACGAAATGCAATACATTTTCACAAAGACTACTAATTGAAAACTGTTTATTTATTAATTTATATATTTATTTATTTATATATTCAAGACATCATAATTGTTCTTGACCACAGGGCATCTCTTGTAGGATTTTCAAAATTCCTTTTAGGTTCTCCTCTCCCTTTTTGATTACCTTTGAGTAGAAACGGTTTGTCTTTATAATCATCAGC